TTACAAGTAGCTTTAGCAGTAAGAAAGCTTAATATATTCTTAATAAATCAACTTATCAACAAAGAAGGCAACAGAATGATTTCATAACAGCAGCTCAAACTACTGAGAAAAAAATCAAGCAAAGGAAGATTAGCAAAATGGTTTAAAAGAATTGAAGAAACTATGTTTGAAGATGAAAGTAGTAGACAACTCAAACCAGAGTTTATATTAGCAGAAGGAAACAAAGAGTTATCTTTACAGACAACTTTAGACAGATGCTCAAATGATAACAGAAGAAAAGAATGGGTGGTATTAAAAGAGTTACAAATAGGAAAAGAAGAAAACCTAATAATTAGAAAAATAGTTGCAAACACACTCAAAAAAGTGCTTACAGAACATTGGAAAACAAAAGTGCAAGAAAACAAAACAGGCAAGATTCTGGAAAAATGTAATGGTTGCAAATTAGATCAAATTGGAGAACAGAAAAGTTGTAAAAAGTGGAATAATAGAAAAGACATTCAAGGCTCTCTATCAAGATTTATTAGTAAGAAAGAAGTACCAAAACTCAAAATAGAACAAGAAATAATAAGAAGACTAGAGCACAATAAGTCTATCAAACCGGGAAATAGGAAAGCCTAGTCAAAGTAGTAGTATGTGAAGACTTGGATATAGAGCTTATTAAAAAACAACAACTTAGCCAAATACTTAAAGAAGAGCTAATTTACAAAAACTAAAAAAACAAACTAGAAAACAATGAGGAGCTGATTTTTTATACAGATAGATCACTCAAGAAATCAGAAAACTCAATAGAAAGTGATCATATGGGAGTAGGATGAGTGCAAGTAGATAGTAACAAGGAAAAAGTAATTGATGAAGGTACAATCAGTGCATGAAATTGGCCTTTATCAACAAAAGCAAAGTTGCTTGCAATCTGGTATGTGCTGCTAATAACACCAAAAAAGAAAAAAATCAAGATTTATACTGACAGTGCAGCAGCAATAGCAGGCCTCAACAAAAGTAAAAAGTTAAAGTCAAGCAAACATTGGATTAAAAAAAGAACTATAACCTTAAGAGAAGTATTCTAGAATTATTTAGTTTAAAAGAATTAGAGTTAGTTTTAGTTAAAGTAAAAGGACATAATTGTAACAAATGGAATGATAGAGCAGATAAATTAGCAAAAGAGGGAGGCAGAATAGATAACTTTGATAGAATAATAGAGGCACCACCTTCAAATTCAAATGTTTCACTCTGCTGGAAGGACCTAGTGATCAAAAGCTCGACAAGGAAATTCATCAAGAATGTATTAGAACTTAAAGTCAGAGCAGAATGAAGGTTTACATTATCAATTCAAAAAACAGAACCAATCTTGGAAAAAGAAGAACACGATTGGTCAACATTATGGCAAAACATTAAGGGTCAAAGTGGAACAAAATGTACAAGTATGAAGAGAAACAGAAAACTAGCAATATTAATTAAATATGTAAATGAAAAACTTCCTGTACTTAAGACCCTAACACAAAGATGACCAGATATATACAAAAACACAACTTGCATACTGTGTAATAAAGACCATGAAGAGGATCAAGACCACCTAGTAATATGCAGCAAACACAAAAAAGAGTGAAATAATATGAAAAATATGTCAATTGATCTGGCTTGGACAGTACTTGCAAAAGAAACTCAAAGAAAGACAAGTAAAGAAGAACTTAAAAAGCTTTTATGGAATATTTTAAAAGAAGAAAGAGTAGCAAGCAGATCCAAAATCATCAAAGGCCTAATGCAAGAAAAAGCCAAAAAGTCTGTATAAGATATTATACAATCTCTAAAGGAAACCAAGAATTTTATAACTGTGTTTACAAATGCAGCATAGAATGGGTTCTTTGAAAATATATGGAATAAATAGTGTAATATTGTTGCCAACTGGGAAAAATTAATAGGGATTAAAACCACAATTAAAAAAAAGAAAAATAACAAAAAACAAAACCTCTTAAGCAAGAAAACATGAAAAGAAGGGAAGGCTATAAATATAGATGAACAAAATCGAGTCATGAGGAAAGGAAAAGAAGAAAATAAGGTTCAAATTCAGGAAACATGGCTTGATTCAGTCTTTAGTTTTGTAAATAGAAACGTAAGACCCTTTTTTCAGAGTCTTACTGGCTAGCTTAGTATAACTCCAGGCCAGGAATAACCACCTGGCCTGTGTGGCAGACCACTTCTAAACACTCATAGAAGTAGCCGGGGGATGTCAAACTAAAATTTAAGCCAACTTTGTACAACATGTATACAAGAATCTTAATAAAGGTGATCGGCAAGGCTGCCTAAATTAAAAAAAAAATAAAATAAAAATATTATTCTATCAGCTATATGCAACTAAACTAATTTATACACTACACTTTTATAAACATTACAACTTGTATTGCTTTACTATGGCTGTCGCCTCTGCTACACTCTGTTTCCTAAATACTCTATCACTATTTATTATAATAAATTAAAATTTAAAACATAAAACCTGTTATAACTAGATTTATGATATGTACATTAAAATTGGATCCCAAACTATATTATTACCAGTAAGCAAAAATGGCACACAGCAGTAAATTGACATGTAACAGTGATATCAATATATCATTAATAGATAAATCCTTGAATTATATCTGTTTTTTATATCTATTTACAACAAATGTAGATTATAACCTTGCTTTAATAACTATTACAATTCAGCAATTAAAAAATACAAATTAGAATGAACAGTATATGTGAATTAAAATAAAACATGATAGCCTAATGTTATAGCTTATCCTAATCCTAGTACTAGTATAAAAAAAAAATCCGAATATGCAATACAATATATATGAAGTTAATATAAAGCTTATCTAAATGCAAAATACAAACTTAAGGTTCATGTACTACTGTTGTTTGCTATATTTTGTTTTGTTTCTAGTATTGTGACCTGATTCTCTACAAACTTTGCATATATACTTTCATTTTAACATATTATCATCTGTAACTTAAATGTTTATATTAACATTGTCTGATGGCACTCGGATATTTCTTTTAGAGTTGTTAGAATTAAGAGCATGAAAGGAAGTTCTTGATGAAGCTACTTGTGGAGTATATTGTTGCATATATAAATTCAGATCAGCTGGATTAATTGCACTACTTTTTGAATTGACACAACATATGTTGGTTTTAGATACTGATTTGATTCTCTTAGTTGGAGGATGATCACGTCATTTCTGAATAACAGGATTGGATATATGGGAATTATTAATTTCATTTGTTTCATTAGTATAATTTTTTTTGTGATCTATAAATCTGTTAATCATATTAATAAACTCTTCCTCGTAATTTAAATCTAATGCTAAATTAAGAGCTTTTTTCATTTTTCCAAATCTATATGCATATTTAGCTTTTCTTTATACACATTGTCTAGCTTTATATGTGAATGTATCTGGCACTCTAAGCTTATTAAATATATGTAAATTAACTGTTAATAGTTCATCATTGCGAATACCCTTATCTTGAATGTGTTCAAGATATTATCATTTAGAAATAAGACCAATACTAAATTTAGCAACTTTTGAACCTATCATAACTTGAAAAAAATGTGAACAGACAAGTCCATAATTGATTATAGCCATGCATATATATAAAAAACACTATCTATTAGTAAAACAACATAGTACTTATATGATTTGGTAAGATCAAAGAGCTCCCAAACCTCTATAATATCAAATGATTCTATCCCTTCTAAAAGAAATTGAAGAGATGTCTGTGGCCTATCTAGTTGATCTTCAAGAAATTCATTATCATAATCATGATCACTATTCTAATAAATTATATATTATTATTAGAATTTATAATAATAACTAGCGATGTGACATCCCAAACAATATGCTAATTAGTATGTATCACATAGTTTTGGCAATAAGAAAAAAAAGTAGCAGAAACTAATACTATACTAATTATTACATGATTTGGGACATCACAAATAGTTTGGATTATATCTATAATGATAACCCAATCCTAGTATTAACATACCTTTATATTATTAAGTGTTTCTTTTAGAATATTTCTAGCCCAATATAATAATGATTTAGTAATTTGTTATCATTGAACTGATAAGATGTGCAGCATTAAATATTTAGTCATTAATTCGATGACTTCAAGAAATAAAAGTTTAATAATTGATGGTGCTTGGTTAGTTGGAAGACTTTGAAGATACATATTGTGCTAAGCCTATGTAGTTTCACTATCTAACAATTTTTGAACTTGGTTATGTAAATTACATAATGAAGATGTACTACTAGTTCTATCTTTAATTAACCGATTTATAACTTCTATCCTTTGTGTACTCTGGATGCCAGCTATGAAACACTTTAGTTGATAACATCTTGTCCACATTTGACAACACTTGTTTAAAGTTTTAAGATATTCTTAAGCTGAAGGATATTTTTTGATTAATCATTTCCAATGTCGATAAAAATTCTCTTCATAAAGACTATTTCTGGCATGTTGAAATTCTTTATAAAATAGTTTGTATTGTTGTCCTAATTTGCTGACTAAATTTTTTCTCAAGTTCTCTTTAATATGAAAGATGCATAAAAAATGATGTGTATTAGACATTTTTGATGACAATGCATTTATTAAAGCAGGATCCATATTCGAAAATAGACAAACAGTTGAAATGCCATTTGTTAATTAAGAATACATTCAAGAAACTATTCAAAGCTATCAATAGTTTCATTTTCTGATAAGCATTGAGCAACAAGTCAGCTTTTAGTATTGTTATCTACTACAACTAACAAAGTTAAATACATGTCGAACCAATTGGTTTGATATATATTATCTACTTGTGCTACATCATTATATCTTATAAAACACTGATGCTAAGCAGAAAACATCCAAAATAACCCTACAAGGCAATTACTAAACAGATCAATTCTAGTATAAATTATCCACCTGAGTTCTTGATTCTTTAATGCAAGTAATTTATTAATTATATTTTGTGCATCTCTATGTCATTTGATAAGTGGTGCTTTAATCTTTTGAACCTTATTGTAAAGATCTCTTTTGTGAATATATTGATTTGGAAAACTTGTTACCAATAGTGGATATATTTGTTTTGACCTTATGTTGCCTTTAGTAACATAAAATCTAATTTTTTCTTTTATTTTTTCTAACAACTTGCGATACTTAGGGGCATATAAACATATATCAGATATCATATTATAATTGTGGTCTCTAACAATGCTTGTAACTCTTATTTCTGATGATAATTTAGGATTTGTTAAATTTATGTGCCATGGGCATATAATTTTTCTGAATTGTCACTAATGTTATTGAGTTAAATCAATTACTTAATTAGAGGTGGATGTACCAGAAAAGCTACACTCAAATGTCCAATATCTAATAATTCTATCACCATTAAGCTCAAAGTGTTTTCGACGTAAGATAAATCTAGTTGCTCTTGCATATTGATTGAGTTTCATTTTTATCTCATTTCATGATAAAAAAGAATCATCAACATTAATTTGATTCTCTGATTCCAAAGTTAAAGACTCTGTTGAGGCAACTTTTTCAAGTGAAAAAATGCCTAAAAAGAATGTAGAATTTAGTTTAAAAAAAGTACAAATCACAAACAAAACACTTTATTTAATGTTTAAAAATTTAAATACCTGTGTTACTTTAAAGGTCTTAAAAAATAAATAAAATAAATAAAAATAAAGTGCACTTAATTAAACAAACTCTAGAAGTATAAGCTTACCACTTGCATTGTTTTAACAGTTCTCAGAAAAAGATTCTAAAAAAAAAAAATAGTAAAAATCAAGTGAACCCTAATGTCAAAATAAAACAAACTCTAATCGAATAAATTCTAAAGGCATATTGCTTATCATCATTTTTATAGTTTTCAAAAAGAAATTCTAAAAAGAAAAAAAAAAGTATAATAAATGAAGCAAATCTTAATAGAAAAACCCTAGAATGTAATATTTACCATTCATGCTGTTTTGACAGTCCTTGAAAAGAAACTCTAAAAAAAAAAAGTAAATATAGTGAATCTTGTTCGAACAAATTCTAGAAGCAATATCGCTTACCATCTATATTATTTTAATAGGTTTCAGAAAAGAATTCTAAAGAAACAAGAATAAGTAAAATAAAGCAAAAAAAGTGAAACCTAAATGAAAGACTTTAAAATATAATACTTACTATTCGTATTATTCTGATAGTTTTTAGAGTAAAAGTCTAAAAAAATATATATATATATATATTAGAATGTAATCTAAGCGAACTGACTTTAGAATATACAACAGTAAACAAAAAATGCAAACTATTAGCATATAGCACTTATTATTTGTATCATTCTGACAGTTTTCAGAGTAAAGGCCTAAAAAAAAGAAAAAAAATAATAGAACATAACTTAAGTGAACTAACTTTAGAACATAGCACTTACTATTTGTATTATTCTGATAGTTTTCAAAGCAAAAGCCTAAAAAAAGGTAAAAAAAATATTAGAACAAACCATAACCAACAATGAAGTCTAAAAAATACAATGCTTACTATCTATATTAGCATGGTACTAGATAAATTGTGTTATTGTATGTAAGCTTAAAGATATGATTTCTTTGCTACTTGGCTTCTAAAACCTGCATTCACTATCCCACAAAGATTTTTTAGGCATTGATTTACAAAAATGATAGAAGTTTGATCACAAACTAATCGAACTTTTATTTATTTGCTATGATTTAAATAATGACACGACCTCTACATCTGTCAAAAATAAACTCTAATGCACTTGTGCTTTTTTCTTATTATTTGTACAACCAGTAATGATTACTGCCAGTTATTTAAAGTAAATACTATAATAAAATATTATATAATAAAGGCTTCAAGCTCTATAAAAATAAGAGTTTGCACTTGTAATAAAATTTGATTCTAATAATTCTCTGCTTTATTACATTATAATACCTATGATTATAATTTACTACTTGTCAAATCTAATATCTCTTTTTTGACTAAACTGATCTATAAATTACACAATGTATCTATTATAAAGTAACTAATATGCTGTAAGAACTATTAATATTATTTATATATTTAACAAATTATATATATATATATTATACAGATGTGAAATGATTTTAAAAGAAATTATTCAATAATCAAATACTAAATGTGACATTAATGTATTTATAAAACATTACATTTTCTCTTGTTTCAATACTATTCTGAATAATCACTTGTAGGTTTATTGTTATTTTTAAATATTTATATTATTTACAATAATTCTTATATTTTTTTTAATTAAATAACAAAATAATATTAAGATTTTTTTAAAATTACTAAGCAAAAGTAATAATTGTACTAACTAATGCAAAAGGTTACAACTTGAACTGAATGTTTACAATATAGTTGATTTATTTTATTATAACAGTTTTCATTTTCAACTATTAATTGTTTATTAATTTGAATCTATAGAAATATGATTTAAGAAGAGAGTTATGTTAGAGTCATGAGTTTTTCCTTTATGAATGTATGGAATCAAAAATTAAAAATATGTTTAAAATTTTTTTAGACTCACTTGAAGTATAGAAAACATTACACAACATGTACCAAAATCTAATTAAGACAATATTTGCCAAGAGTGAAGAAACACTTTTGAAACCAGTTCTTAAAGTAAGTATAAGCTTTTAATGTTTAGATTTTTATCTTATTTTTTTATGTATGCATCTATAAATTATCTGAACTTTATATTCTAACAAAATATCAAGAACTTGAATTTCTCATTAAAATGGTATGAATAATGCTTCAAATAAAGATTAATATCTATTTTTTAAACAATTTTTAAAATTTTTTAAATTTTACTTACACTTACTTAATTTTGTTCTTGCAAAATTTATTACAAATTTCTATTTCACAATTTAAGCAAATGAAAAGCAGAGTTAAAAAAGAGAAATTTTTAATTAAAAAAATGACAATGCCTACTAGGCAGAGGGAATTCAGATCTTTTGAAAAACCAAAGTCAGTGACAAATTTGTTATATTGTATTTAACATTACCAATATGTTATTTCATTTCAGATTGCCCAGAACCTGACCTAATTCTTGAGTAGAAAAAACTGATGTAAATTTTATATAAAGAGTTTATTTTTTGCATAATAATAACTTCTGATCTTTCATTAATGTATCATATAATACCATAGCAATAAAATTTAACAAATAAAGGTTTGCCTAAATTGGGTTTTATAGATTTATTTCTAATTTATTAAAAATCAGATGCTACATTTCTGAGTAAGGCAGATGAAACTATTACGATTCGATTCAAGTTTACCCAAGAACAGTTAAAATTTAATTTGTTGAGAAATAAATTGATATCGCTGATCGGAGAGTAAAATTTATTATATGGTTACTAGTACAAAATTTGCACGTTGTAATCGTAAAACGGCGAGTCAGTCACTAATCAGTCGGATCTTTCGTGTAACCTTTAGGGTCGGTAAATTGGGTCGAAAGAGGCGCGTTAGATTTGTCAAGTGGTTTTCCTGGAAATGGTCGGGTCTACTGGTGCAGGATGCGTCGGGTTTAAATTGGTTAAATGCACTGGTGTACTTTTTACAGAGTCTCAAGTTAGGGGTGGTTTATGTAACAATGATTGTATTTAATAAAGTTATTCGTGTAGTAGTATTTTTAACAGTAGTTTTATTATGGGTAATCATGTATTATATGTGTTATATATTTGTTGTCAAGGGGAAGTTCCCTTTTCCAAAGGGCCTGTTCAGCCTTTATTTATAATTAAAATCTTCTATGTACATTATGCGATGGATACGACTGATATCACTGATACTATTAATCAGT